GCGCCCGCCCTACGCCATCTGCAGGTACATGTTTACAGTTGGATTTCAGTATAATTTTCGACAGATAATAGCTAGTTTTTCAGCTGGAACACGTTAACAGTTAGTGGTTAGCGATATGCTGCTATTCTGGTGTTCCTGGTTTAAGTCCAGGTTCATTAAACTTGATTCAGTTGTATAAAGATTTTGTGTTTAAAACCTCACCTAATCTAAGATGGACGTCATTATCATCCAGAGTAATAGTATCAACTTTACCAAAGAATGTTGGATGAACATTCATTCATAAGGCAGTTTTCATTTGAGTGTTGAAAAGTAATGGTTTTGTGCTTACTCGGCTACACGATTGGCTTAAAAAAACTCGTGCCAACTTTTATCCAATCAGAAGTAAAACCAAAACCAATTGTGACTTGTTCGCACATGTTTTCCCTCACTTCGCATCAGCTACATTTAATTACTTAGAGCTGTGATTGGCTCACCGTATTGTCTGTGTCCTTTGTGATTGGCTTGAGCAATTACTTTGATTTTGGTTCTACGACACTCAGTTGAAAACCACAGTACTACAGTGTGGCTGCTGTGTCTGATAATGACTATTAACTCACTATTATTTTATATAGAGTAGTTTTCAATTGAGTGTCGAAAGAAATTAGACAATTACTTTGGTTTTGGTTTTGGTTTTACTACGATTTGAACTTGGCTTAGTAGTCTAATTGAGAAGTAATTGGTTTGGGTTTGGTTTTACGACACTCAATTGAAAACTGCTCTACCAGTTATTAAAATATAATATTCAACAGTTAATCTGTCCGTTAGAAAATGCAGGAACAGTTAGGCGTGAACTGAAGCTAAAATTCCTCTGTCACTGAACCTCTCAGATATTATTTCTGTGGCCGGCCACAAATTTAGGGTTTTATATTCCAGATGATTAAAACTACAAGTACGTATAGATAGCCACTCAGCTCAGTTTTCCTGTACGTTATTCACCATACAAGTTTGTGGAAACCTGTATTACATTGTCAATTAATTACCGCAAATGTCGATGCAATCGTCTTGCAAGGGCCGCACCAATCAACATAGATGTCTATGACGACTAGTTTAGAGCCTGCCTCTTTGAGGAAATCGTCAAAATCTGTCTGCAATGAAAAAAAATCTCAGTCAACCACCGGAAGATGCATCAAATAATATCTTATTTTCAGGATGCAATCAACTGGTTATGTTTTCACTGCTTTTGTTTCGTGTAGTTTGAGATTATTCAAAATTAAAACAGAAGGCGAAACAATATGTAGAAAACTTAACCGCAAAGTTAAAAAATCAAAATTCTCGCTTATTCTGGGTTAGCTTAATCGGGCTTTGAACAACCCGGCCCAGGAACTCCGCTTTTGGGCTTGGCGAAATCTCTTTATTAAATTCTCAACGGATAATGTAATT